GAACTAACCGACATTGACTCAAGACTTAATTCTGTGACGACTCAACTAGATTACTTTAAGACTAAATTAGATAATCAATCTCTTCATTTATTCGAATTTCAAATTAATCATTTATCCTATAAATTAACTAAAATTAATACCCAGTTACAAACCTTAGAGCCCAATCGTAGTAAAAGAGGTCTCCTGGACGGATTAGGTTCAATTATAAAAAGCATTACCGGTAACTTAGATCATACGGACGCACTAATGTACAATAATGCCATTAAGGTCTTAGAAAGCAATAATGAAAAAATAGCATCGGAATTTAATGAGCATGTTAGTCTTAATAAAGCGTGGATGACTCGTTATAGCGATTTACTCACGAAAATTGTAACTAATCAAGAAAGAATAAATAAAACATTAGAGCAACTTTTAGATAAGAATGCTGCTAGCGATTTAATAAGATTCGCGAAGTTTGCGCAATTATTAGTAATAATTAGCGATAACATAGATGACGTATTCTTAGAGATAACTAAAATAGAAGATACCTTAGCTTTTATACGTGCATCGAGCACTCATCATAGTATGTTAAGCATAGAAAACTTAAGTAATATGATTACTAGATTAAAAACCATATATAGTCCAAATCAACTGTTAGATGCAGATTTAAGAGAATACTATACAATCATTAAACCTGGTTACTACTACATTAATAAAAGAATAGTTATAATATTTAAGTTTCCCATTATATCTTTAGATAAATTTGAATTTTATAGATTAGCCATAGTTCCCAATAAATTCATGTACACCTTTATCCCTCCTTACCCTTACCTTGCAACCAATGGGAAAGTTTTCAAGTACATAGAGGCAGAATGCCCGAAGTTCAACCAGTATCATCTCTGCGAGGAAGGAATCGACCGCCAACCGACGAGAGGACATCTAGACTGCATCCAAGAACTAATCTTTAATCAATCCCTGAAGAAATCCTGCCTGCCTACGAAACTCACACTAGTCAAAGAAGCTATGGAGCAACTTGACGACAGACGCTACACACTTACCTTTCCACGACCAACTCGGACGGAGCTGCACTGCGATCGCCAAGAATTCATCTCTCTACACGGAAGTTATCTGGCTACTATCCCGCAGAACTGCCTACTACGCACTGATCAGTTCACAATCACTAACACGAACGATCATATCAAAGGACAACCTCTAAAGATAACCGAAATACCAATGAACTTAAATCTAACTGAAGAACCGATTCCACACCTGAAATTAAATTCGTTGCATCTGAAAAGCCTTCACGAGATCGAAGATAAAATACTCATGCAGAATCCCGTGCAACTGGAACATACACAGTTATCGCAATCATTCTACCACACAACGATACCACTATACGTCGTACTATTCGGTGCAACTGCACTCATTGTTGCAACCGCATTACGCCACTACAATGTTTGCACTAAATTTACGAGGCCGCAAGCAAATGATGAGATCACCGAGAATCATCCACCAGAGCCATCGGCCGCCGGAGCAGATACATCTACAGTCACCGAGAACCAGATGCCAGCAACATTCTCGCTCAAATTGCTCAAATAGTTGCTGTTCTGAGGGTGGAGGTGTTATGTGCCCTGCCTATACCAAATCCATTGAATAGCGACATGATAGCCAATGACGCACAAAGCGACACATTTACGGAATATTGCAACACCTAATATGCTGAGTCGACTCCTCGTGTCGCCGCCTCGTGACTTACTTCCACAGTGCTGATGTTGCATCTGTATTTTACGTAGAATTAATTCAGACTATAATATGTATTAATAAAATAATTCACTTTGGTACTAGCATCGTCCAAGTCTACACATAAAACTATTGTAATTTTTAAATTAATTAAACTTTTATCTCTAAAAGTTTCGATTATTTCAAAGTCCTCCGGCTGTCACCTACATAATTTTCTTTTTAGGATATTATGGAAATAATGCTAAGCTACCAGTAGTTTCATACATTCCAGGACGTGGTGTCCTGACATAACCAGTTATGCATGAGGGCGGGTTCGAAACCTACCAACGGCAAGTACCAATGTGACTTTTTCCGAGTTATAGGAATGTACTTTTTAAGATTATCTAGGCACCACTGACAAACGGTAAAGGAAAACATCGAGAGGAAACCTGGGTTTACAATGTCTAACTATAAGTTTGTAATCGCCAACCTGCATTGAACAAGCGTGGTGATGAATGCTCAACTCAAACCTTCTCCGTGTGAGAAGACGCTTTGCTCAGCAGTGGGCATTTATAGGCTGCTGATGATGACTGGTTAGAGGTACAAACTTGTAGGCTTTTCTTAGGAACTTAGAGATTGTCCAATATTAATTAAATAATTATTTTCTGTCTGTAGGTACACTAGTTAGTAATTAATTGTTAAAATATTGAAATGAAAAGTAGAGCGCAAACTAGTTCATATTTTCGCCACTAGTGGCGCTGTCTTTATTTGTATTGAGATATGTTTTTTTTTATCTATGGTAGTCTACCGTACGTCTGAATGATACTGACTGTTTGATTGATATATTTGATCTCAGAAATAAACTTATTTGTAAACTATTACACAGATTTACTTTAGAACCACATTTTCCTTCATTAATACATATCTAGTTGATAGCATATTTTCAATCAAACTCAATATGATTGCGTAATTGGTTGCGCAAAAGGGCTGCGGCATATTTATGGGTCATACCAATCAATGGTAAACTGGAACTCACCTTGTTACAAAGTCTAATACTAATTATTAAGTTCGTATTAAAAATGTATTTTTGAACATCGAGTCGTATAGACGACTGTTGACAAATGTTATAATTAGTTGAAGTATTTGTATAGTTATATTGATAGTCATTTAATTACCGACTTCAAAAAAAGGAGGAGGTACTATGTTCGGCTGATTGTTTTTTTTTTTTTTTTTTTTTTTTTTTTTTTTGTTTGTTCGCGCAGTACTCCGCCGTTTGTGGACCGATTTCAAAAATTTTTGTTTTGTTTGAAAGGGTATACTCCCGAGATGGTCCCATTTCCATGAAGTCAGGATCTGATGATGGGATCCTAGGGAAACCGAGGGGAACTTTCGAAAATTCTATGGGGGAGTAATGCGTCTATTATGTTTTCCAATTAAGAATTTTAAACACTACAATTAGATAAGGGTCTGGAGTCGACCTGATGATGGAGTCGACAGACAGTCGAGGGAACTCCTCAGCGGTTTATATTAACTACCTTGTGTTTGGGCTTGATTAATTTGTATTGATGAGGACTTTACACCTAGATAGAGTGGGGCTGTCATTGAGGGTCTGATGATGAAGAAGTGTAATTGTTAAGGGAACTCCTCACCAGTATACAGTAACTACCTTGAGTTTGGGATTGATTAATTTGTATTGATGAGGACTTTACACCTAGATAGAGTGGGGCTGTCATTAAGGGTCTGATGATGAAGAAGTGTAATTGTTAAGGGAACTCCTCAACGGTATACAGTAACTACCTTGAGTTTGGGCTTGATTAATTTGTATTAATGAGGACTTTACACCTAAATAGAGTGGGGCTGTCATTAGGGTCTGATGATGAAGAAGTGTAATTGTTAAGGGAACTCCTCAACGGTATACTGTAACTACCTTGTGTTTGGGCTTGTACAATTTGTATTGATTAGAACTTTGCACCTATGTATATTATAAGTAACAAGACGGGTATATGTAGCTTTACACTGAAAATGGTAAAATAATAAAATAAAAACTGCGTTTAAAAAACCGACTTCAAAAACCAAAAACTAATAACAAACAAAAAGTCAAAACCAAAAAGCAAAAAATAACTAATATTAGTACTGATAGGTTACCCACCCACTGATAGGTTAGAAGTCGGTGCCATAAGTTCATATCATAATGATATAACTTAATGTCCACAAAATTGTAAATTAGGTACCTATTAAGGTTTCAATGAATAATTTTGTATGGAACTTATGGCACCAACTTCTTACCTATCAGTGGGTGGGTAACCTATCAGTACTAATATTAGTTATTTTTTGCTTTTTGGTTTTGACTTTTTGTTTGTTATTAGTTTTTGGTTTTTGAAGTCGGTTTTTTATATTAGATATAGTAATAAACGACAGGAGATGGGAAGATGACTTGAAACTGACGGCGGGACCATTCTGGTTGAGAGTGGCAAGAGACAGAACTCACTGGAAGGAATTGGAGGAGGCCTATGCCAAAAGGCTACCGAACTTAAAGACCTCATCTAACCATAGGGTTAGATGAGGTCTTTAAGTTCGGTAGCCTGCCTGTTGAGGTCAATAGCCTTTTATTCCTAAACATAGGTTTAGGAATAAAAGGCTATTGTTATGTTATAGTAATAAACGTTAATGTTACCTAGGTTAAAGAACGAAGTTTTTCAAGCAAAAAGTATTTAATGTAAGAGGATATTATTTTAGTGTGTGGTTTCTTTATGGAAATCGAATTGAATGTAAAGATGTATCATACTCATGACACGCGTTATAAATACGTATATAAGGAATGTTAGGGTTAATTATAATCACAGGTATGCAATACAGATATAGACAATTTACCTTTCACGCTACTTTCCATGTTTTCTTTCTATGGAATAAGCCGGTAAATGAGCAGACGGATCACCTGATTAAACAATCGGCACCGCTCATGGACATCCGAAAAACCACCGGTGTTACAAATGCGTTACCGGCCATTTGGAGATTAGGAGTTTGAGAGTAGTTGGGGATTCGGAGATTGGAGAGATTGAGGAGCCTGTATTGGGCATCCGGTAATCTCACTAACGACGAAACACAACGCCAGTGTTGATTCACGTCGGTTTACTGTGAGGCCGTGGTATCACTCCGGTCGAGCCGGCTCATTCGCGCTGAAGCATGACTCTCTGTGAGGCTTGTATCACTCCGGTCGAGCCGTCCAATGCGCGCCGAAGCATGGCTCTCTCACGCTTGAGAATGTGTATACTAAATAGAGCAAAATATTAACAAGTACTTACAGAAATCAGCAGGGTTATGGTATGCTGGACACGTCATCCCAGCACTGGCTAGAGCTGGCACCAAACTACTCCTGGGTCCATTATACAACGTTCTCCCAGCTTGCAAGCAGTACACAGTGTCAATCTTCTCGAAGATGAGGGCTGAAGGCTGGTGGATGGTGGCTATGAGCGTCCTCCCTCCCCTCGCGAGGTTGTTCAGCAAAACAATAAGAGATGCTGATGCTGATGAATCTAAGCCGCTGGAAAAAAAATAATTCAGTTAACTCTTGATCCCCGATAAAAATCCACAACATTTATTTATACAAAAGTAGTCGGTGACAGATTGTTGAATTTTAACTGTTTAATCCCCAAGTGGTCACCAGTGACCGCTCTCCATTAACTCTATTATAAACCTTATTTCCGATGTTCAGAGACTACTTTAGTATGCACAAATTTTGGGGATTTTCAATACGATATTTCAACACATTAAACTATTGGCCTAATTGAAATGATGATGATTTGACTCGTCTCATTCTTAACGATGTGGAACAAATGCGTAGCATGTGTACTGCAGCACTAGAATTTATTCGTACCATACATATGTACCTATAGCTTAATGGTTAAATTTCCGCTTCACATATTAATAGGTGGGTTAGGGTTGAGTCGGTTTGTGGGTATCTAATGATTGGTTACTCAAGAATGACTTAACTGCTTTAATGGTTTCTAAAAGATACTAAGGTATCGCTTTACGTAATATACTTAATACGAAGAAAGAAAAATAAATAATATACATAGTACAATTCTTTTATACTCTACATTTAAAAAAACCCACTTTAACTCCTCTATAATTTTTGAGGTCGGCTTATTAATAAACATCTCCTAAACGTAACAAAAACTTTTCTGAAAACTACATCAAAATCGGTTTAGCTAATAGCGAGATAATGGCGCACAAACACCTATACAAAGAGGTTAAACTAACAAACTCCTTCTTTTTAAGTTGACAATCCTTGTCCTTACTTTGGACGTAAATAAACCTACCTAGGTGTACATAGGTACCGAGTAGCTAGGGTATATCTGAAAGTCAATGTCAAGCCAATGATTTTCCTTAAAAGCAAGTAAAACTGCGGAGTTTCTGCGTCACCGCAACCATGGCCGATTTTTATGAGAATACACCATTGTTTGGCAAAACACTATTCTAATATATCTAATCGGGAAATCTTGGCGTTACGCATCACGACAGTGTTACAAAAATATATCGCATAAGTGTAAGTGATTATGATTAGATTATGCTTTCGAACCGTTTGGGGTTGAAACTTCAAGGCCGTGGGGCCCAAGTGCACATCTTCTTTCAAAGATATTGTAAGGAGGATGGTTGACACTTCAGGTGATCGAAGGGCTGGCTACTACCTTGGGCAAAGGTTAAGAATTGCCATTCAACGTGGCAATGCTGCCAGTCTTTTGGGCACCCTACCTCACGGTAGCGATGAGGAAAATGTTTTCTTTGATGCCTTATGATTTATTTTTATTATTATTTTTTTAAGCTCTAATTATTTTAGTTTTAAATTTTTTTTATATTTTAAGTTGTTTATATTAATAGTCGCAAAGTAGTAATATGTACATACTTAGTAAATAAATGTATTATAAGTGTAAGTTATTTTTATTTATGATGAAAAATTAAGGTAAAAAAGGGTAACCGAAAAGAAATTGTAAATAGAGACTACTAAAAAATAAAATGGAATAATTAAATTATGGTTAGGTACCACAGAACATTATAAATATGTTCTGTGTTAGGTACTTAATAAAATTTAGAACCTAAAAAATCTCACTACATCTCACAGAAGTTTTATTTTGCGAAAAAGTAATTTAGAGCATCAACGCTACATAAAAAGCCTGACCTATTTATACTACGATCTAAACATCGTACCTACTTCTTATGCAGAAGAAACCATACTCTAGCGGTGAACTACGGGATGTAACTAAATGTAATTTAGAACTGTTTGAAAGAGGAACAAATCTAACAGCAACGTACATATATTATTACTTTTAAATTCGATCAAGGTTCTCGTCTTAATGCTCACGGCATACGGACATGGTGAAGGTCAGTGCTAATGCATTGACCGGTTGACTGTACCATGACTTTGACGGAAAACGATGGCCCTGAGCCTCACGTGATGTGGAGCAACTGGAATGCACTTAACTGCTTTGACTTTGATTTAATGTTCCTTAATTAGGATCTTAATTGAGAACAGGATGATTCCGTGTTTTGTTTAAGTCGAGTTAGTTGACTACACTTCTACACCAAATAAGTGTGTAGGTAATTATTGCAATAGTGCCTCTAAAATGATCCTTATCACGTACCAAAACAATTGAAATCAAGTTTTTCCGGTTAATAAGACTCGTGTTTTTGCGTAGGGCTGTCACTAAAATGTCGTTGCCCTCAAGACTAGGCTTTCTGTTTTTAGTTAATACTTACATCACTACGTGTTATATAACAAAAAGAAAGTTCGTAAAGTAAAAACTCCTTGTTTCAAACAGTCAGATCTTTAAAACAGTTACAAAATTAACCAAAGGAATAATAATGTAGGGATCTACTTACGTGGTAGGTTCATCGAGGAACATGAGCGAGGGATCAGAGAGTAGCTCCAAGGCCACAGCCAGTCGTCTCCTCTGACCTCCGGACAAGTCTCGGCAGAGGGTTATCGATGTATTACTCAAACCTAATAAGGCAAGGATCTCGTGCACCTGGAAAGATAGTGTTTTTGAGTTCATTGTTATATAAATATAAATTTATATTCCCATTATTTTAATATTTATTACTTTGTTTGTTTTTGTGTTCAATAAATAATTCATTACGATTATCGTTGACGTCTTACCGTATGACACCGATGACTATTATTTTGAAAATAACAGATGACTGACAATTAAATGCTCTTTGCAAGGTTTATCTTGTAATGATTTTTCCTTTTATGCCTTTATACATTAAAAAAGGCGCTAAACAAAACTGGTGTTCGTGAAAACCATCAACTGATGCAAATAGCATTTTACCACAATTAATTTTCAGAAAGTGGCACACTATCAATTCAGCGAATAGTAAGTTCAATTTCACCACGACACGTATCCATTAAAAACAATTGAAGCTCCAATCAAATTGCCGATAGTCAATTGTAAAAGTATCAGCTAAATTGTGTACATTCAGTTTAACATGTGAATGTTAAAAGCGTGAATAATACTATTAGTCACTTTCTATGAAGTATTCACAGTTTACTATTATAATTCACACGTTTAAAAGTGACGTCTTAACTTTCTATGTACCCTAATTTTTAGATCTCAAGATCAGATATTGTATATTTTTATGTTTACGACTGTTATTTTTCTATGACTTATTTAGGTACTATACTTAGTAGTCGAGTGAAAAATAGTGTTATTAGAGAAAAGTGTGGATTGAAAGATGATGTAGTGACAAGGATTGAAAAGGGAATGTTAAGCTGGTTTGTACATGTAGAAAGGATGGATGAAAGTAGAGTAACGAAAGAAGTATGCAGAGCGGATATGAATGAGGCCGTCAACAGAGGGCGCCCAAGACGGACATATAGTGACCAGATTGGCGATATATTAAAGAAGGGCCAAATTAAAAGCACCCTTAACCGACGAGCATGCATGACAAGATTGATGACTGTTGATGAAGCGGAAGAGGTATGTAGGAATCGTAGTAATTGGCTTTTCCTAGTCTTTGCCTACCCCCATGGGAGACAGTTAAGTTATGTATGTATGTATGTATACTTGATATAAAAGTTATTCTTAAAAATGGAGGTTGACTTTCTATTAAATCGCATTTCAATTATTAAGTGGTCTGAATGAAGTGAAAGAAAGAGTTCATTCCATTCCCTATATCATGATCATTTGTAAGGTTATCATGTGTTGGTTTTAAGGGTAGTAAATTATAAAGCAATTAATTTACCTTTTCTTTCCTCTCATGGGCATTAAAATCAGCCAGTTTCAGTGCAGCGGCAAGAGACATGGCTTCGTACACAGTGAGGTGCTCACGAAGATCATCGTGTTGTCTGATGTAGCGCGCTCCTCCACGGCCAGTCGCCTTCGAAGCGCAGGCGCATATTCCATTTACAGATATCTCGCCTTTTGCACCACGGGTTCTATAGACGAGGAAAAAAGGAATTAATTAAATATCGTCACATTTTTCAAAAAACAGTGGAGTGAAATATTCCTGTGGTTTGTGCCAGTAAAAAGTACCAGTACCAAGACTTACAGATATGAGTAAAATCATTTTTTATTTCGCATCAATATTTTTATGTAGGTATGCTAGAGTTTAAATTTAATAGAAATTTTCTTAAGATACTTATGTCAAGTGGCGTGGACAAGACATGATGACCGTAATGAGATAACAATTTTTATTTCAGTTTTATTTAAACTTTCCAATACTTAAACTATTAAATACACTTCCTACGTATAATTGTTTGCTATACAATAACTGGTAGTTAAAGAAAGTTTAATGACATAATAATGTACTAAGTGCTCTAATCATATTCATATAAGCTTTAAAGAATAATTATTGTACCGAAAGCAAAATTATACACAACAAACACAGAAGTAACACCCACTTTTCACTATTTATGTTATAAGTCCCATGTAATAGAGGGTGAGTCTATTGCCATATACCGGGCACATTTCCAGACTCCGTGTTACTACTGAGATTTTTTAAAAACTCAGTAACACTTGCCCGACCAGGGAATCGAACCCGAGGCGCCTTGCCCAGCAGTCGCACTTGCGACCAGTTGGCCAACGAGGCAGTCAACAGAGTTATATGAAACAAAATATTGACAAGTATTTATATGGCTCCAAATAAGTTACAAAATAAAAATAACGAACCTCAGAAAAACTTAAAGTTATCAGGTAAACGTTACGTAATTTTTTTTGTAAAAAATAATTAGGTATGTTTGGGCACCCGTAGTACCTACATTAATCATGCAACAATGATAAAACCTTTGTTTTATTTATTTATTATTTATCCATACTACGTTCTCACTACTGAGAGTTTTTAAAAACCCAATATATCTTTTCCCGACCCTGGAATCGAACCCTTAACGTACCCTGGTACATTGTAACCCCGTAACGTTGTGTTATTTAATCACTTGGTATCTTATTCTTACTTATAATGCAATGTAAGTAGTTTGTATATGTGCTGTAGAGTGTGTAAACCGTTGGAAAACTGTTAAAGCACACGTCTTGAAGATACATTTGCATATGTACGTTAAAAATTAACGTTTTATTATTTACTGTGAAAACAATGACGCACATACATTTCCTGCAAACTGGGTTTTCCTGATAATGAGAAATGATTCGATAAAAGAATTTGGAACACTAACGCCCGAATACTGAAACGTTTGTTAAATATTGAACGGCTATTTAAATGATTGAGCAGCCCTCAAATCTAGTTTTGTATTATAAGGGACCAATCATTCATCCAGTTTATGATATACATATTATAACTTGCGTGAGACGTAAGTACTAAATTAATTATTGTGTTTTTGACTTACTCATTACTTGAAACTAGTCGAGTTCGTCGTCAAACAGTTACGTGTTTAACCCGAACACATAATAATCAGTTTATAATAACTGAGGTTATATATTTTTTTAAGGGGGAAAATCATCGAATGACTGCTCCCGCCTGGGTGAGGCGGGAGGGAGTGTCAGACTCACTAAAAACCACCCCGTTCCTACTCCTGCACTTCGAGCCGCAGCCCTAGCAACCCGTTAAGTCGCTTGTGGGTTAATGGTGATTATAACAGTAGGATGTGTGGCTCACACATACATTTATGTATATCACAAACAAAAATGCAACTTAAAAAACACATTTGCTTGTTACATAGACATGTGACTCCCTCTTGACTGCTGGACTACCTATGAACTTCCTCTACATAAGCATGGTTCCCCTACAAAAGAGTACATAATACCCACGTTTGGTAAATATTGCACTTTAAAAAGATCCTGGCTTATCCCCTAGTTAGCTCTTAAGATACCCGCGGGAAGAGTAACGGTGGTGGCAAATATTTACTCTGCCGTCATGCCATGTTGAAACAGAGACAAACTAACGACGTAGCTAAAGCGATTAGCTTGTAACATTGCAGGTTGCAGGAAGGTTGCCACATAGTCCCTGGTCACATAGTACATGACATTCGCATTATTTCAAACCTTGCCACCATGCATAGACTTGGGTAAGATGTCAATGTCACCACGCTATGAACTATTTGTGTCGTAAGGGTTTTTAGTTTTGAACAAATACATTTGTCTTACGTAAACAATTAAACCGTGCAAGCCAATCATAGAATCCACATACATTCATAAAGTGCAAGTTACTAGTTAAGGGTTAAATGGAATTCTATCTAGAGACTTATAATAATAAAAAAAAAATTTTTTTTTTGGTAACCGTCTTAAAGATTTTATTGGTTAGATTCTTTAAGCCCTAGGTCATAATACAACAAGTTATAAATACATAATTACAATTATGCATAAAGATATGTTCATCATGATTAGAGCTTTATTTAAATAGTTTAAGTCATAATTATTTAATGTAAATATAATTATTGTAATAACTTAAATATGTAATAAATAGCCACATGGCGACCTCGAAAACATATGTATGTAACAGAATACACGTGAATCATAGTTTTTCAAATGCAAATAATATGAGTAAATGGTACATTGCGTCGTTTAATCTATATCCGCTGTCAGTGTCGCAAAAACTAGGAAATGACTCGACTGAAAATGATTAAATTAATGTTTTTTGTGACTAGGACAGTTATTTTTTTTCAATTCACTCAAAATTATTTGATAATGATTACATTTTATTTAAATTTAACAATTTTCAAGAGAGTTAAATGCAGACAAAAACACAAGAATGATAATAATGAACGTTTATGGATTGCTTAGGTATATCGTTAAATTGGTATCAAATTTAGATACCTCGTGCAGTAGGTCCACTTAAAATTATTGTGAGGCAGGTAAAGTAAAGATACGATCTTTTGATTTTTTTATCAGACAACTATACAACAACACCTATTAATCATCGTACATTTACACACCCATATTATTTGTATGTTGTAATTTTACAATCTTGTAGGTACTTGCTTTTTATTTGTTATTTATGAAGTTTATTTATCTATGCGAGCCTTGACATAGCTTGCAATAAGTGTTGTAGACACTAAAATAAATATTGCTGCCAATCGAGTCATTTATAATCAATGGTTTTTCAAACTACATTATATGAATAAAAATGATTTTCCGTTCGGTAGTGTCGCTAAAACTTGAGAACGGCTGAACCGATTTGACTAATTTTGGTCTTAGAAAGTTTGTAGAATAAAAAATCTAGGCGGTAAGTAAATAGTTCGCCGGGTCAACTAGTATTTTATATGTATAAATACGTAAGTAAATGAATAGGTGCTTCTAAACCAACAATATATAATAGTACTGCGATGCTGTAGCCATGAAGCCAGAAATACAATTTTGTCTATGATTAACATTTTCTTAATGTTTTGTAGTCTAGTTACTATGTATTTACATTTTGTTATAAACCAATTTTTCTTAATATCTATATCTAGATAATCTTTGAAAGTGCCTAATCATTCCGCGCCTCAGCGAAAATATTGAACATACAACTTAGTAAAAAAAAAAAAGGGCTAGTTGCCTATTGAACTAAATTAATTGAGTGTTCTTGGTCAACAGCAAGACCAAGACTCCACATCTACTCCTACGTGCCAAGACATCATTAATTCTGTATGTACAAATTATAGTAAAACTTACGAGTAACCAGCTAGAATGTTGAGGAGTGTAGTCTTGCCAGCACCAGAAGGCCCCATGATGGCCGTCAGCTGTCCTGGTTTGAAGCATCCTGATACTCCCTTTAGGATTTCTTTGTTTTCTGTAACAAAAGAAAATAAGGTAAGAACAAAATCCAGTATTTTTAAGAAGTCATACGCATTGGGTTATTAGTAATTTTAATCAATATTAGATACTGATACTGATCGTAGAACTATTCAATTAATAAAAAATAAATAAATAGGTTTTCTTTCTGGCAAAAAAATTAAAAAAATATGATTGCTGTTTTAGGAAAACATTTACAGAAAGAAAGATGAATAGAAAGAGCAATGACCTTTACCATATCGGGCAGTAGAGCAAATATGTATGAAGAAAAATTGTCAAAACATTGATATTAGACAACATTATGTTTGTCTCGCCATAGCTAAAGTGGAGTACGATAAAATAATTGAACATTGTAATAATGTATTACGTATTAGAAGATAAGAATAGAATCACTTAATTTTATTATAAACTATGTCAAGTAATGTTATATGTATATGTGATAGTAAGGTTGAGTGTTAGCTATTCAAGTAACTTATTAAAATGCTGTGTATTGATACAGGAGATAGATCGCCGTGAGATAGGTCATTGTACTGTAGGTGGTGCGAAACAAATATTCGGTATGACGTTTTTACGGACAGTAAGAAAATTTACATTTACAATTATCTTTTGTTATTGCAATGTATTGTGTTTCAAGTGCCTACATATATAATGTGTGAAATCTTATGCGTATTGTGTAGAAAAAAAGAAGACGGTCTTATTTCTGGCAATTTGTAACTCACGGCTAATACAAATTATTCAATGATACAGCAGGAAAACAATAAAAAATTCATTGTTGAACTAAAAATAACGATTATTCATGTAAATATTTCACAATAATCAGGCATATGTTATACTATTGCAACATCGTCATACAATAGCGTTGAATAAAATAAAAACAACTCAATTTAAATGTATTGTTATATATTCACAAATAACAATTACATTCGAGTCAAAACAATGAATATTGACGTAATTTTTATTATAGGTTTGATGAAATTGAATATTTTCAATGACCGTTCATCTACATTGTCTTTAACTGAGAATAAACTCATAACTCGTCGTTTCCCTAATTCAGTGGTTAAAAGTACCCAGTGGGTAAAACCGACTTACGATTGTGTACATTTGTACGAAAAATGTGAATAATTGTGCAAAAATTTTTTATGGGATAAGCCGGTAAATGAGCAGACAGATCACCTGATGGTAAGCAATCGGCTTCGCCCAAGGAAACCCGGTACACGACAAGTGTTACAAGTGAGCTCAGGCCTTTTAGGGATTAGGAATTTGAGGATTGTTGGGGATTCAGGGATTGGGGAGGGGGTAATATAATTGGGCCTCCGGTAACCTCACTCACACGTTGCTCTAGCGTTGTTTCACGTCGGTTTTCTGTGAGGCCGTGGTATCACTCCGATCGAGTCAGCTCATTCGTGCCAAACCATGGTTCTCCCACACTTAAATAATAAATATAAAAATGAAACCCGTTTCCCGTTGTTACGCCATAACTTGAGAATGGCTATATCAATTCGGCTGATTTATTTTGTAGTGTTTGTTATTGACAAAAGAAAGTTCTTATGACAAAAAAAGTCCTGAAAATCCTACGGGGACGGGAGAAAACGGGATTGCGCGTACGAAGTCGCGGACAGAAGCTAGTAAATAATAAAATTAAACGCTTTTATAATTTAACAGTTTTGTTTAAACACACTTGTTCTTATCTTTCTGCTTATATTTTAAGGGTTAATGTATGTACAATGTAAATACTCGTAAATATCCAATTTCATTATACAAAGTGCTAGGCAGGGTGATGCTCACTTTTCTATTATGATTCCCATGTAAATATGGTTTTGGAATTTTTGTCTATTACCTACATCGAAAATATTAATGCAATTAAATAAAACAAAATGATAACTCATGTTCATGAAATTGTTACAATAATCACATACAATATGTTAATAATAAAATATCGATTTAGCCCTTAATTATTACCGATTTATTTTTGGATAAGTCAAAGCTGACGTGGATCACATTAATCGAGAAACATATTTAATTCATATTAAGCTACGTCTTTTTAGTAGGTAGATAACAAAAATGCAACAAAAAAATTAAGTGATATTCCTATTAACACGATTGATGAATTCTGATAACATTGCTATATTTATATTAATTATTATATTCATTTATAATAGGTACCTTCATATTTTACAACCGTGCAATTATAGTTTCCTGCACCTCCTGGGCATTTTGGAATAACACTAAGATTTATAATGAATCACTTCCTGCGTTTAGCCTGCAATTATCACATAAACACGTCTACCTAAATGTTAAATCTAACTGCAGGTCTAAACCCTTTATTGCCACCAGTCTGTACCTATTTATTATCTGACTTCCAAGTAAGATGATTGGCAAATCATCAAGCATGAACGTGGAAATAAATTTATTCCTTATTATCATTATGGACGACCTCAGACAGTCGACATCAGGACTTCAGAGGCTTCCTCTAGATAAGAGGGTTTGCAATTAGCTTCATGCTAAGCAATCGGGTTGAAGATTATGGTCATAAGGTTCAGGTTTATAAAAGAGCATTGTAGCCCGCATCCTAATAGGCTCTGCAAGTTGATGGACTTGCAGAGAACTGATGAGCTCTTGTGACTTTTACGGGAAGAGTAAGCGCAATGGCAGTGGCATGTATTCTACGTTTTCTTTTTTGAGGGGGGAAAATATCTAATCCAAGGGGAAAGGCTCCTTTCCCCGCCTTGGATGAAGCAAGAGGAAGTGTTAGACTCTTACTGACTAAAAACCACCTTATTCCTACTTCTGGTCTTCGAGTCGGAGCCCCAGCAAACCTTTAAGTCTCCCGGGACTCCGATATATACTACACTACTGTCACTATATGAACATAAAACTTTTAATTTTCAACATAACATCACGCCTTTTATCCCTGAAGGGGTAGGCAGAGGTGCACATTATGCTACTGTAACACCCACTTTTCACTATTTATGTTATGAGTCCCATGTAATTGGTGGTGTACCGATTGCCATATACCGGACACAATTCCAGACTCCGTGCTACTATTGAGATTTTTTTAAAAACCGAATATTAAAAATTTATGTTACGAGTCCCATGTAATAGGGGGTGAGCCTATTGCCATAATTATACGGGGTATAAATCCAGACTCCGTGCTACTACTGAGATTTTTTTAAAAACCCAGTTGTACTTTGCCCGACCCGTGAATCGAACCCGAGACCTCTTGCCCGGCAGTCGTAATTGCGTCCACTCGGCCAATGAGGCAGTCATTTCAATTTTCAATTCATATTAAAACGTCGATACCTACCATTTAATATTATACTACTTATCGTGAATTAAATTAACGGTTTCCCTTCCTTTTCCAGTGTGTGTAAGTGTCGGCAACTTATTTTAAGTATCATGTTCCGAGATTATTTATTGCTTGTTAGCTATTAGAGGATACAAGCCAGTGTTGTGTTACAATATGTCCGTGGATTGCCAATATCGCATTTGGTAAACAAAATTAATTGTATGGTTTTATAATTAGATCCTTTGTAATATGGGGTGTTGAAATTCATCTGAGTTAATTATAAGTGGACTTGGTTCATAGGATATTTGTACCATCGTCGTTATTGTTAGATTAGCTTCTAAAAAGAAAATACCTGGTAAGTGTGAATTGTATTTCATGCTAATTAGGTAATTTTATTTAAATTTTTTATTTAGGAAAAACCTTGCTGCTACTTTTTTTTAAATGATGCTATGGCGTGTGACGGAATCAACGGTGAACAATAAAATTATTTTGGTATCATAACTTCACCTTGCCACTGTATTAAAAAATAATATTCAATGGAAATGTTATTATATGATTTAAGACTAGCTTCTGTATAAAAGATTATAAAAATAAACAAGGATATAGGTGGGTGTTCGATAAATACAGTATTAACATATATAGGTCACGAGTATTATCGACTATGCACATTATTGTACAGACGTGCACGTCAATCTACACCTTTATGTTTTAGATTCTCGATTTTAACATTCCTGATATAAAATTGAAAATCCAATGAAACAAAATGACTGATTGAGGTTGACTTGCTGCCGTCATTACATACAATCCAATTATGTATCGACACGGTCTGGTGCACGATGAACGCATTACAAAATTATGAATGAAATTAACACTTGTAATTGTCTATAGTTAAATAGTTTCTTGTTTTTCTAGAAACTTGGAGAAATGCTTGTTAGTTTTTAAGGTTAATGATCAAGTTCAGGTTTTTGGTTATCACTCCGTAAATAAGTGGGTAAGTTTGAAATTTAATAGTAACGGTTCTAATATTTTTATAGTTTACCGTCATGGGATAATATAGATTTAAGAAACATTGTAATCGAATTATTGGTAGCACTACTCAAAAAAACTAGGATTGATACAGTTCGACCTAACGGGTCTAATATTTGTATCGTTTGCCGTCATCGGATAATATAAATAATATAGTTTATGACAAACAAACATGTATAAATATCGACAAAACTCAAATTAGTGCACGTTTCCTGTTTTTTTGTGGGATAAGCTGATAAACGAGCAGACGGATCACCTGATGGTAAGCAATCGGCGTCGCACATGGGCACCTAAAACACCATAGGTATTACAAGACGTTAACGGCCTTTTGGGGATTAGGAATTTGAGGATTGTTCGGGATTCATTGTTACAGAAAAACTTTTATGTGTACAGCAATAGCAAACACTCTTTTAAATGGAACTTACACTACTACATTTTATCATTTATTCCATTTTGTTCACCTGCGACGTGTTCACATTTCTAACTATCCCTTCAGTGACTTAAAGGCGTGATGTTAGAATGATTAGGATATGATATATGTAGGTATGTATATTTTATAGATATAAGTTTTGCTTGTGAGATGAATCTAGCAGGGTTGCATGTCAGATTCTTTGGCTAAATATGTACCTATGTATGTCTAATATTGTCTATTTAATAAAATAAGAGACCTTGGAAATAAACTAAGC